TATATATATATATATATATATATATATATATATATATATAATGTGTCTAAGTTACTTTGGTTGGTAAATCAAGGGAAGGTTTGGTTGGTATAGCAACGGTTGGATCGTGTCATGGTTGTGATTATCGATGAGTGATAGACTATTCACACTTGAAGCTATCTAAACTACTTCGATCATTTAATTTTTACTTGTTTTGATTAGCTTTGCCAAAAAATTATTGGGTGCATCACGTTAATGAAACCAACTACCAACAAGGTGGCGTTTTATTCGAAACCCATATTACGGCCCTAAATTATCTTCCAGCATTCCGATTTTTTGTCTATTGAGTTGCAATTTACATTTGAAATTTTGCAGTAGCACAAACATAACTGGTTCACCTGTCCCCTCTTTCCACAATTTTGGCCCACAGGACCCCTACCCTCAGATCCGGATCCGAACTTTCCATTTCGAAAACACTTGGACAAAAGTGTGGTACCTAATCCGAAAAAAGCGATCCAACGAATTATCCGCGGTGAAACCAAGGCCGAACGAAGACAACGTAAAGAACAAGAGGAACTTAGCCGTCTGTTGAAAAGCGCTCCCAACGATTCGGTTAAACCGGCCGGTGACACACATTCGAAAGAGTGGGAAGAATTCCAGAAGCTCACTGCCCAAATCGAACATACAGTTCAGGAATCGGTATCCAAAGTACAGATCCTTGCTCCAGTCGAGCCTGTTGTAACCACTCAACCGGACGAAAATTGGGCTCAGTTTGAGACTGTATTCGGACAGCGTGCGCGTGGACTAGAGGACTTAGAAGACGAGTTAGACGATAGTGGCCTTGTTGACGAGAGTGTGGTTGTCCAAAGTGAAAATCCCTGGGAGGAATCTGCGTCCGAGTCACGCTTTGTGCCGGAAGCGTCGTTTTTTGAAACCAATACAGAGCAACCATTGGACGAGAATTGGGGTAAATTGGACGAGCCTGTTGTTGAAGACCTATTTGCTAATCAGCCCACTATAGTTCAGGAAGTACCCCCATCCGAAACACTAATACCAAACTCCGACCTTGAAATTGACCTTGAATTCGAAAGTTTACGTGGTGCACCGGGCGAGAGACTTACTCAAGATATTGACACTTTTTTGGGTATCGAAGACCTTAAGACGATTGAATCTCCATCAGAACCATTGATTTCTGATCCCCTAAAACTGTTAGAAAAATTGAAACCCAAATCAAAAGAAAACCCTTTAGAAGATTTAGGTATGACATTACCTCAGCAGTTCGATAGTCAAATGCCAGACCCAAATGTAACCCAATTGATTCAAGAAGAAGCAGCTCTGGAATCAGAACCCAATGAACAAATGGATCAGAAGCTGGGCACTCAAGAGGCGAATAGTATGCCAACAGAAGAAACCAGTGAGTTGGATGAGGCAAACGGGACGGAGCTTAATGAGCTTGGAGTTCCGACAAATGCAGTCGAGGACACAAGTGACGTGGACGAGCCGGTAGATGATGTGCTATGGGGTGGTTTCTCTGAGGTTCATGTTTCAAGTACAGAAACACCCAATCCGTTTAGTGGCGATGACTTCAGTGTGTTACCAACGGCAACGGTAGAGCGGAAAACATCACTGAGTGCCAAATCCCATCCGGCTGATGAACAGCTAAAAGCTATTGCACGCCCAAGGAACAAACCTGTCCGTCAAGAAACTCTTTCGGGAAACAATCCATTTCGTAAGCGAACTGACATGGATCAGGAAGATGAAGAAGTGGATGAACTGACACGAGCTGCGGCGGGTATCGAACTGGTCAGTGTGAAGAAGCCTAGTTCGCATAAAATACGTGACAGTTTTGAGAGTAGTGGAAGTTCGGTGGAACAAGACACCGGTTTAACTCTGAAACCGGTGGCAGATGATACGTACGATACCACTATTGAACCCCATGAATTGCAAGAAACAGTAGATTCCGGATTTGATCCCTTGAAAACAATCTATCCCGAGAGTGAGAATGAATCGTTAGCATCAGAAGATCATGAACTGAAAACCAAAGAACCTACCCTATCTATCACCATCAACAAACTCCCCACGGAGCCGAAATCTGCAACGGAAAACAACGTTTCAGTTGTCCCGACGATTCAAGCTCCCCCCAAACCACCTGAACCAGAAAAACCCAAGTCAATACCAGAAGTAAAGCCGGAAGAACCGCCAAAAGATGCTGAAGTTGTGAAACATGAATTACCCGCAGGTTGGATTGATTTTAGCGAGGAGCCAGAAGAGCCGACAGAAAAGGCAATCTTATCCGCAGACGAAGCTTTTAATGTGGATTGGGCCGCCGTAACACGCAGCCAGCCCACGGAACCAGAACCTCCGAGGCCAGATACACCAGATCCAGACCTTGATATTCCATTCCATCAGCCCGCAGAGGAGGATGCGTTCTATCGAATGTGGCTACGCTATCCGGAAAAGAAAACACGGGTGAAACAGGTGAGTAAGTACACGACTGATCGATACTGGCGCGAGATAGCCGTACACTTCACCATGGACCATGATCGCNATCAATTTACATGAGGTAGACGAGAATACGAAGCAAATTGCTCCGGAACCGTACCGATCGATTCGGATTGAGCCGTACATGCAGTTGTCACGGGAGAAATTGCAACAGTATGACAAATACGGTAAATTACATGTGTTCAAATTGAACCATGTGTCCTATCGGGAATTGGTCGGTATACGACCAGAGAAATTCTCAATCAAAACATTGCAAAATTTGGTCACACACAAACCGAAGCAGAATGTGGCCGTGGATCATTTGCCCGTGTACACAGAGATACTCAAATTCGGCTCGTTAGATCAGAGTCGCGTACGGCAACTGATGCCCGTGTTCGAAGATGCCCTGATGAAAATACCCGCGCACAAAGATAGCACATTGAACTACAGTCGCGAAGAGGTGTGCTGTTACGTGGTTGATGAATACCAGGGTAAAGTATCGAAATTGGGCACGATTGTGGAACAAAAAGCTCGAACCCGGATACTTTGCACAGCGTTTGTAAATGGTGGACCGCATATTGTACTTGGTTTGAATGACAAATGGCGTTTTGGTCGCGAAGTGGTCCGACGCGCTGATATTCTCCCGGTAATGCATGATGAATGGATTAGCATACGTAATCCGGAATTCCATTCCTGTGTGGAAATGGATGCGTACGAGAAAGATCACATGCTCAAATTTTATCCGTTGGACGGATGTCGATTTGAGCTGCTCCGGTTCCGGGTGAGTTTGCGCGGGAATCGGGAATTGCCAATGCAAGTCAAATGTCTCTATTCAATTGACGGACGTCGTGTTTGCATGCGTTGTGAGCTACTTGTGCCCGGGTTCTTCAGCGCATGCAATCGTAAAGGTGCTGTACCGTGTGAAAATGTGGAAATTCACATCCCAGTACCCGAGGACTGGATCTATCATTTTCGTGTGGAGAAACATCACAAATACGGCTCAGTGCACTCCACTCTGCGTAAACCGGGACGAATCAAAGGTTTGGAACGGATCACTCAAATGGCTCAAAGCTTGTTGCCACCCAGTATTTTGGAAGCTAGTATTGGTTTGGCAAAATATGAACATTTGTACAAAGCCGTGGTTTGGCGTATCCCAAGAATACCGGACAAACATGAAGGTAAAGTATTTTTTTTTATCAAAACAACCAATTCTATCATTTTTGTACTTGGTGCACGTTCCTTTTCAATACATCGAAGGTTGCTCGCATCGACCCCCAGCTAGCCGCACCATATTTTATCCTTCCTTCTGTTTTACCTGACTACAAGTAGACCAATAGGAATCAGTTAGACGTCCTGATATTATGTCTGTCTGCAAAAATTTCACTGTTTTATTAAAAAAGGCCATTATGAGATCCACTGCAACCTACCAGTTAGGATTATTTTTAGATGGCTGTACCTTGAGTACAAGATTTCGAATTGTCAGTCAATGGATTTTTCATTGATTGATTCTCTCTGAGCACGATGTTGAGTTCATTCAGCCTTACATCATTTCGGAAACACTATACACGAATGTTGATCATTTTAGAAAGTCGAACTCCATTACTCCTGGCATGGACCGAGTGTGTACCAACCGGGCCATGTTCGGATCGACCAGAATACCCAAATCAAGCGTGTAAATATTTCGTCCTCAAATACAGTCAGCTCGTTATTGGTACGACAGTTCCTAAAACAGAGGAAGAGACACCGTAAGCAACACATTCGTTTCAGTTGTACAGTGATCAATCATACTTCGGACTCCGAGCACAAATCTTGGTCTATACAGTGAAATATCATACATTCGGGGTTGGGGGTAAATATTGAGTTTCGCGCGCCTCAGAGCTCATCCATACATGGCATACATAGCTAACATTCACCAGTAAATGGGAGTAGATACAGAAAACAATTTGTTTGATTCGAACAGTATTGTCACCAGAAAACGGTCCGTTACCAATATCACGAGGCATGCGTACCAACCGAAGCACAGTCAAGCAAATCATCGTGGATTGCCATTCGAATCGCCTTGATGGTGAGCATGATTCGGCTATGAGTTTCCACTGATCATGCACATAATTGTCTGAGTTTCTGTTTCACATTTTTAACCACTCAAATGAATGACTCTGAGGATTGTGAAATAAGATAGATCGGTTGAAGGGATTCGTGCTCCACTATTATGGATCTCCTCCTCAGTCATCATGGAACTCTTTTGAAAAACAGTGAGATGATCATTGTGATAGTTTAAAATGGAGCAAGCTGCTGAAGACCATCCAATAAACTTGTACTGGTTAATTGACTGCCATATGAAATATGTTGAATCAGGTTCGACTCCACCCAAATTTGATGGAGATGCAGACCTGATAATTCCAGCAAGGATTGCTCAAGTGCATAATATTTCCAGAAAAGCCACCAGGGTGTGGGGAGGATGGCTTTCCATTGATGGATAGGTTGCATATTGATTGTCCACCAAACGATTCACATTCCATGAACGAAGCTTTCCAAATCGCATCCGTGACTTGAATGGGCAACTTAGAATGTGAGCACGTTATGGTTAAAAACAGGATGCGATTAGATAACCGAAAAGGATGCACACATTCCATACTGCCGCCGTTCAATTTATCCATCATTCTTGTACATTCGGTGTAAATTCTGCTATATTTATGCGTGTGAAGATGTACACAAAACTGCTTACTTGCATATGTGTACATATGTTATGATATTTATACCTTACGCAAGCATTGATATTTGCGTGCTCGTAGAACAAAAACGCTTAAGCTGCAATCCCAACTTTACTTTGTCATACACGCATGAACATCGTTCAATTCGTCAGAATAGTCATTTGAACTGTAAAAATGAAACGATCTTTCGGTGAAGATGGTTTGGATCAGGAATGAAATCTCACCATGGAAGCCCAAATCCTTCGGTGATTGTGCAAACAGAGCCTGCTGAACCCGTATATGCCGGAGCTACCACCTGTTATCGCAAGGCTGTACACTGAAAGGCAAACGAATACAAGAAAACGAACCCGTGTGAAAGCGAGATGTAGAAAGGACTCTTTTTATGAAACATTTGAAATAAATATCGGGTGATGGTGAGGCAAGGTAACCTTTGCTTTTGATCCCGCTTCACTCAGCACTGTAAAGTTAAGACCTTGAAGAAATTTTCTTCATCTCACGACTCGTTTTACATCAGTCGGTCTGTGGGTATTTCTGCTCCTAACCGAGCACAACCAGCTGAACTCACGGCAGCAATTCGTGCTTGTTAGATCGTTAAAAATAAGGTGCTACTCTCTTTATATCTGATGCCGGTAAAGCGAACACTGATCATGCCATTCAATGCAATTGTGTTCGTAGACTCGTGCTCCGAACTTAGGGTTTAGTGAAATAAATATTTCAGGCACTTCATTGATTAACAAACTAGTTTTAGCTTTATTAATGAAGAAAGTGAGCAAGTTGGTTGGGGTGTGGTCAAACAATCTGGGATCCTTTTTATCAAATAAGAGTAGTCTACCTTTTCAGACCCTGAAGCAAGCTTTCGGATTCACCGAATAAAATTCTTGAGAATTGGACGGCAGTTGTTCTTTAATCAGGCGGCCAACATTAGATAATTTCAAGGTCATGAATGAGACTGCTAGTGATTTTTCCAATTCTACTCATCTCCCAAGCAACTTATTGTCTGCGCCCACCTCCAGGAGTCAGTGTAGCTGTCCGGTTGTTGACCACACAAATCCACTTTCCGATATGCGTTTTTTGTAATGATAACATTCACAGTACAGTTTCCAATACACTTATTGATCTGTTACGTAAATGGATCCTGATTAGGCGTATGGTATGTGATTAACGTACACAATTTATTTAAAAATGAGCAGTGTTAATCATGTGGTACAATAATAATTCAAACGTAAGTTATGCTATAGGTAGATGTTTCCTCGGAAATATGCACTAACCAAGGTATAAGGGATGCTTGATAGTGGTAGCACTTTTGAGCTGAAAGATCTTCATGTCCCCGGGAATTCTTTCACCTCCTCCACTTGCGCCACTCCCCCTATGGTCACAAGAAGATGCGGTATGCATCAGTGACCACATCCCAACAGACCGCTCGATAGGTGAACTAAACCCCGACGAGGAAGTTCATGGCATGTAAAACCGACTGTTCTTAATTGGGTGGATGAGATATGCTTCCTAATTCAACGGCCAAAAACGAAATATACCAAACCAGCATGGATGAACGGACCCCTGGGCGAAATTCACAGTACCCAGATGGTGAAGGAGGTCCAACGGAGCCACCTACATTCATGTATAAATGCTCTGCTTCCTTTCAGCTCACACTTGGTGCACCTTAGAAAAAAAGCTGAGTAAAACCCTTCAGGCGTCTCGTGAACCAAACTCCTGCGTAACTGAATGATAATTCATGAAACCGACTTATCCTCCTCATCCCCCCGTACCCCGGCCCCTCGAAGGAACTAACCGGAGTAAAAGTGGATACATTAAATAATTCATACTGTTTTCTGACAAAGATGTTTCTGTCAAGTTGTACATCACACAAACGATCCAGGTCGTTGAGAAGGAAGGGAAATGCGATGATTTCTGATAACTTTAGACATCATGAGACGTCACAATTTCACGACCTTTCAACTGAAAGTTGAAAATTGTAATGACGACCAATAAGTATTGTCTAGATAAAACAGAAAACTGTCAAAAATGATAACGCATACACCATAAATATTATATCAAGAATTTCAAGTATGAAATTTCCCATTTTTTTCTGGCAATTTTTAGCTTGGTTTATTTCGAAATACATCGTGCTTACTTTAAGAATCTCTTTTTCAAGCTTTATTCAAAATTACCCTTTTCCATTTTTCGCTTTTCTCCCAAAACGCATTTCTCCATACCGTATCCCCGACCAATGCTGCTTGATCGGAACGTAGCCTCATTTCGTCCACATTTGCTCACATGCAAGCTGAATTTGGCTGCTCACGATACTGTCCCCGAATGGGAAACTCTTGTTCCCGACTGCCAAGTAGAATACACCATGCCCTCGAGTACCGTATCCGGGGCAACTGTTCGTTCAATCAGTGTAGAGCATACCGGAGTGGCTGAGAAATTTGTCAAGTATACAAGCAAGTATCGCTATGTTGTCGAAATAGACTACCAGCTGGGTGCACGTAAAGAACCGTTATTGAAAGGGATTTTTGACGAACCAACGCAAACAGCTGAATCTGAGACGGCAGAGGAAGCAGCGCAAGGACCGTCAGCGAAAACGGATCAGCAAGAACAACTAACAGAGCAGCCACCTACCGGGGAAGTTGCTGACCTTTTGGGTTTAGGAATGGACTTTGGTGAAACTGTTCCGGAATCAAGACCCAGTCAGGAGTCTGCAACAAAGGGGGAAAATACGTTGGATTTGTTTTAACTACTCCGTCGCGTAAACTGAAACGGGATCCACCTGATCGGAGTTCTTCATGCTATCTACACACACATACACGAACCAAACAAGCACCTCTCCATCCGGTGGCCTATCTCCTTCGAAACCCGCAAATTCTTTCAACATGACAGGATTACGTGTATATCTGTTTATTTATTGACCCGCACCAACTCAAGTGCTGTGACGCTGATCAGATCATGTTCGGAATGCCAATTTTGGCCGGTGTCTCACTTAGGTCAGGTGGTTACTCACCATTTCGCTCATCACTGCTCCCACCCCACCCCACTCCACCTCCTAACATAAACCTCATACTGCCTCCTCTGCATCTCACTTCATAGTTTTCCTACCGATTGCCAGACCGTCGCATTCATGTTGTACATAGCTATTCAGTGACTGTTATCTACTCCCTGTTGATGTTGAATACAAGTGACCAGATTGTTTTGCTTCCATCCAGTCTTGTTGCACTCAACGGAAGCGCAATAATCTCTGTCTGTTCAACTGTACTCCTGGGGAAAAGACTTCCATTTCGGTCATGTGACGGTTGTGCACACAAACACGTACATGCACAATTCACCTTAAGCTACGCTTGGTTAAATCAACAAATGTGTTGTGACAATTGTGGTTAGCTCATATCAATTTACAAAAAAACACCACATACTGAATTTCATTTTAATCAGGACTACAGTCATTCTGCTGTGCTCCGGTCCACTCCCCTGCCAACATTATATTCGCAGCGGAGTCCTGTGAATAACAGTACTGCCCCAGGTAGAGCTTGCATTTTGTTCAAAGTTCATTTTTGACCCAATTTGTGTTGCGCTTTGCAATTCCTTTTTTTCCCGCACTCTGGTCTTTGAATCTATTTATTTCAAGCTTACTGTCCTTATCTATTCAATTATATAACATTACGTGCATGTATTTGTATGCATGTAATTCATCTCGAACCATTTAAAAGTCCCAGGCGAAGCCCCTCTGTGATAGTCTGTACTACTACTACAACTACTACAATTATTATTATCACTAATATTCTTATTGTTACTTTGACTAATACTACCACTAATAATACTACTGCTACTACATCCAGTGACTATGATGACGATGTTGGTGACTATTCTATCATCAATATTATCAACGCCATTACTAATATGATCTAAGCTCTGATAAAGGACATTTCTATATCTGTTCGACATTGAACGTCCAAAGTCAACCATAATGTTATCATAACCCCCCTTGTCCACTTTGAGCAATCAGAATTATTCTCTTCAAAGTTATAACTATTGAGGGATCCAATATTTATTCACTTGAAACAAAATTTCCCGCTTCTTGTTTGACGTGTACTGGCTCGTTCAAGCTTTTTTGTTATCCCAGTCATGCAAAGTGACAAGAACATTGGCCAATATGTATACCATACATCAAAACGACTAAATCATTTCAACCAATCCTGGAATTTGCCGTTATGCTTGTTCATGAGGTTCCTCATTTCGCCTCATCCCCCTCCCCTCCCTCTCACCCTCCCACTGTTCCTATATCCTCTGTCCACCGGTTACATCAATTTTGTCTAAATTCGATCGCATTTTTGCGATCTAGCCGATACTCATTTATTTACCTACCTGATCTGCAGTGAACTCAGTCTTCTTACACGGCAAATGCACCCACCGGCCGACGGACACACTGATATAGCCACATGACATCACGGTGCACCAGCCGAACAATATACTGACCTATTGCGCGCTTGTCCAGTTGCCTTTGTACGATTGCCTTAACCGCCAACGAGGTTCTCTTACCCGAACTGAGCACAAACATCAACAGCAGGAATGACGAGGGCTCATACTCACCTGACGCACGCAGGCGCGCACACACACACACTTAGATATCAACAATTCCAGTGANCTTGTGAAACGACGAGTGACCACGCCACCCCACTGCTGCGCTTGTTCCCGTATGTGTGTGTGTATTCATTGAATAAGGTCCATTACATAATGACGCATGCATTACGCAATATATGCTTTCTGAACCGGAGTTCCTATTCAATTTCTCTTGGCGGAGTTGATTGCGACATGCTAACACACTGTCCAGCGGACAACATGACGACTAAATAGTCACAACCGGTACTCAATAAGTGAAGGTTCAAGGGGTTATTGTGGCAATGTGAAATGCGATAGGTTACAAACGTCATTTGAAGTAACACTTGTCCAATCTGGACGGCAACGGAAACCGTGAGCCACTAACGAAAATTAACTTGGTTCTAGAGCATGATAATTGGTTCCGTATTATAGAAACAAGTATCGCAATTGTGCATAGAGAACTTTGTCAGGCGAGTTCCGTATACGAGACATTTTTATACTATGTTCCCTACTGAGTGGTGCTGCCGTGACAACAAAAGCCTACATGAGGGCAACCCAAATAATACTGTATTAATCGAACAAGAAAACGATTCTAAGACTGTACCATATCACTGATTATAGCAACCTTTTGAGAATGTGCTCAGATAACCGTGGAGACTGATCTGATTTTCTCCTCCCATGACTGTTGTCCGTAGTTATCATAACTATATTAAATATATGTCTGAATTTTTTCACGTTTTACAGACTTGGGTGATTAGAAGAACTTTTAACATCTCACAGCATTCATCTTCGTCATATTCTAACGGATCGGATCCAATGTTTCAAGTTTTCTGTAGTGTTATTCACTTTTCAGGAAATTTTACTGTTTACCATGTGTTGTCGTCCTGACAGGGAATTATCCGGTCGAACTGACGTAGAACGGTATCGAAGAAATTTCTCAAACCTATCGAGGGTTAGTCCTAGCTGAACTATTGGAACTTTGACAGAAGTATTTCGTGGTTTCATCAACCAAAAGCTTTTGAGAAGTCCAAACAGACTACTTCTACTACCTCTTCTGCGCTCACTGCTCTTATCCGTGCATCTGACGTAACAAATTAGTGGTGCTTGATCGTTTTCGTCGAAATTGGTAATGAGCCGGGGACAGAACGCAATAATTCACGAAGTACTGCGTTCTTGAATATAGCAACAATTGACTCCACTTTTGATAGAACAGGGAGAAGAGCAACAAGATGGTAGTTTGCGGAATTACTTCGACAGCTACTATGGTGAATGAGTGAAACGACACCGTGTTTCAAAGAATGAAAAATCACCGTCTCGTCTAATATCCTCCAGTACAAACTGGCTATTATTACTTGGTTTATCAAGGAGTTCAGAGTCTGTGTATGTTCACTGGATTCACCGGGGATGAATGCCTACGCAATGCCAATAATTGGCTGTTTCCTTTTCAGTTATGTAGTTGACGCTAGTCAATTGGAGTTATGAAACACAGCAAAAGATGTGGAAGCAGCAATCCGAATTTGTTACCTGCTATGGACATTTCATAAAGCTGTACACTCAAGCATTCTACCTAGTACTGGAAACGCGTTCAGGATGACTCAGTGCCAATACTCCACACTTCACCTTTCTAGTGCCATTCATTAAGTCTCAAAGGACAAAATTTATGGATCCAAGAAATCCAAGGAAAGGTTATTGTTACTGATTTGTGGAGGCATGACTGGAAAAATGTTATCTCTGCTGGTTATTTGGAAATTCCGGAATCCACGATGTCACCGTGGTACAGAATGTAATACCCCCTCCCTACAGTTTTAATTCTTCTAAAAAATGTCTGCAGACTGCAGGGCGAATAGGGAGCTTAAGACCAGGTCAGCGGACGCAGATGTNTGTGACGTGGCTCAAGAATGAAGACAGCTCCGGGGTTACAGGAAACAAGTTTGAGTCGACAGGAGGCAAGAAGTGGAGCCCTTCTAGCTGTCCGTGCTACTTCTCACCAATGGGATTAGCCGATGCATTTGGTTAACCCCAACATTCAGGTTATTGCTTGTTACCTATGAGTTGTATTGAGAACAACAGACATTGTTTGCACTTACAGGGTACCTAAGTCACCTAGGGCAGAGGGCAACAAACTCCTGTGTACCCTACAAGAAGTGCTTCGAAGGGCCCATTGATTCCTCATTGCGGGTGATAACAATCTTCCTGAAATAGTTTGGAATGAAGAACGCGTTCCCAAAGAAACAACGGGTTGGTTGCTACTGGAGTGGCTTCATTAGCACGTGCTTGCGCAGTATTCGAAGTATANAGTATACTACTTGGTCCCATTTCAACCATTGGCCTTCAATCCTTGATTTAGGTGTATCTAGAGCAAGGCCAGTTAGTGGTTGTTTCACGAGGTCCCATTAGGGAGAAGTGACCACGTGGTTCTTCAGCTAAAATACTGGTGAAATATAATAAACCGGGGATCAAAATTGTTCGGTTGTATCGGGGTGTACACGAGGTGAGTCTTCAGGCAGTAGCGTTAGGTTGAAGCTGGGAACCGTCAGTCTCAGAGCCTACCGTCAAAGAGATATGGTGTGCAATGAAAGATGGTTTACTGAGGCTGACAAAGGAGTTTGTACCAATGAGGCCCAGAAGAATCAGAAAACGGCCACCATGGTGGAAACCATGTTTAGACAGGGCACTGGCTACATGGAGTCGGAAGTGGGCACTCTACAAAAGGCTCAATACGTATCAAATATGATGTTGCTACAAGGCAGCAAGAAACCACGTGCAGGTTAGGCAATACAAGGCCAGGTACAACTATGAGCATACGATTACGATACAAGCCAAGCAGAACTCGAAAAGTTTCCATGCTTACGTCCAATCCAAAAAGGCATTAAGGGAGAATATGGACGACTGGCCTTAAAGTGCAGAAGGCCAAGCGAATACGCTTTAGATGATTGTTGGACATCTGTATCCCCTGAAGCAGAAGAAAGGAAGTCATACTGTAACTCACATTCTGCCTTGAGACAAAACTTATTGACTCACAGTGTTAGCAGCCACAAGATCAGCCGACAACGCAGTTATCTGGACGCACGATTGGCCCGGGCTACACAAAGCCCTGTGCAAGTAGAACTAAACTGAGCGACTTGAGTCTAACAAGCCCCTTACTTT